ATTTAAGCTACATACCGTATAAGCAAACAGCGTATTAGTTTGTCCAATATCACTGCTGTTACTAAGAAATATCCATTGAAATCCTGCCGGTCAAATAGAATCGTTGTGAGCCAGTTTCAAACCCGCCTACCGGCCGTAACGCGCGAGCGGGGTGTCATACAGATTATAGTGCAACGCGAGCAGTTTCGAACGATGCTCGAGCTCAGTGATTCGATCCTTGTGGTCTGAGTGGCATTCGCGCTATATCGTTAATGGTTGTTAACTCTGCGGGATTGAGGATAAATGATATATACGAATGATTCATTGAGATTAGCAAATGCCAACAGTGATTAATATCGTTGGCCAACTAGGCCCAAATTAATAACACTAGGCAAACCAACTTTACCCGGGACAAACAATTCGATGCCTCCAACATCCTGTCAGCAACAGCTTGAGGTTCACGGAACGCCTGGAAATCGATGCTTATTTGTTAGTTGGTGCAAATAATTGTTTGCTGTATTGCGCGCCAGTCATTATACCAAATTTTTCACCGGAGTTTCAATTAGACATTTCTTAGCGTAACTTTAGCCAGATGATATTGGACAAACTTAATACGCGTTGGCTATAAGGTAATGTTACTTATTTTAACTACACAACGGTGCCAGTTAACTGTAGCATTTCGTCAACTTTGCATAATCGATGGAATTTATGCTTTTAACGGAACGATCTCTCTCTTTTTTCCTCGTCCTCTCGGCATTTTTTCTTTTGTTTCGTCCTCCCTAGGTTTCGTGTTGTGTTGTTGGTTTCGTTGAGGAGGAGGATTTCTCGCCGCGATATAGAGGCCGCATATATCATTCCTGGTCTCCCATCGATTATGCAAAGTTGACGAAGTGCTACAGTAACCTGGCACCTTGTTGTGTAGTTTAATAAGTAATTATACCTTACTAGCCAAACGCGTTATTAGTTGTCCAATATCACTGCTTAATTACCTTAAGAAATGTCTAATTGTGAAATCCGTAGTACTTTTTCGGTAACTGGGCTCGTAGGCCAACGCTAAATTGATTGCCAACAATAATAGCATTCGATTTCGGTTCCGCTGACCTCACATGTATGCTACGAAGGCGAGGTTGATGCATCGAATTGTGTGTTATCTCCGTGTAAATTTGTTTATGGCTATTTGTCTATTATTTTGCGGCCTCTTTGATACTGCCACATATTTTTTTGTTGTTGTAAGCTCGCTAAATGATCGGTCGTATACTTCATTTTTCCCGATTCCGGAAGCTTTATATGTGTTGTGTTGTTTTCGGATGTGTTAAAAACCATAATGTTTACGGGATTATATGCGCACTCAGACCAGCGAATTTTTCGAGAATTGCAGCTGTACTTGTACCTGTTGCTAAGTCGAAGCCTGTTGTGTAAAGACGTGTAAGACACCAAAAGAAACGATACAAGACAACAAATCCAAATGTTGTTATATTTGCAGGCTCGGCACGTACCTAATGCAGCGCACTTAGCTCCTGCCCTGATGCAGCACCTTAACGCAGCGGAAGTCCACAATTCGTGATAACTGACGTATAAAGCGGGTACGGCGCTCTCTAAACGGGCACATTGTTGATGCCATCATAGCTATAGAACTACGATTCCAAGAGCTTGCGCCTCTGTTGTTTCGCATCGCGAGCTTTGGAATTGATACCGCGCAAATTATCCAACGCTTCTCTAGCGATGGCTCTTTCGTTCGCGAGTTAAACAATTTACCTGCTTCCGATCAGCGCATGTGCTACCTAGCACATGCGTGTTACCTAACAATGGCCTTCCGTGATTTTATGCATGTCATTGTCTATCTTGATATTTCGTACTACGAGCACATGCATCACGGTTGGTGTTAGCACGGGCCCGTTAGTTATCGCATTTCGCGGAGAGGGGCTTTTCTAGCTTAGGGTTGTGAACTAATGGTCCACAGAGCGACTGAGAAGGGTGTTTGCTTTATGAGTGCTTTAATATATTTGGCGGACTCGTCACGCCACAAGCACTAGGCATCGTATAGCGTGGTTCACAGAGATGCGAGGGCTGAGTAGGTTCCATCGACGCAATGTCGCTCGAGCGACTCGACGCGCGACTGAATTGGGATGGTATTCGACGACGCGTGCGCTCCGTTGTAGGTTCTCTCTTCGTGCGCAGGTCTCGAACTTAACGCCGTCCGTTGAGTCATGCGCGATATTTCGACATTTGTTTAATGAGTATGCTATCTTACTGCTACCCATGCAGTTGGATTTGGCCGTGACAGGATAAACATACCTAGCGCGCGTGTGGCTATTAAAGCGGGTAATCGCTCAGTTGTGTGATTGAACTACACAAGTGTTGTAATGACGCTGGCGTTCTCGCTCTTTCACTCTAGCTCCGCACTCTCCCGTCTCGGATTGCCATATCAGCTGTATTGAGATTTTAACAATCATTTATATCGCCTCAAACTGCGCTACCTGATCTTGCAGGTGCAGTGTGAGCCATACTTGTATATGCATGAACGCAGAAACGCTCATCCAAGTCATCTCGCCGCGAGCAGATCCACAAATCGACGCGTTGGCGCTAACACAGGAGTCGGGGAGTGCGTCATTTCCCGACTGGGAAGGTCGAGTGGCCTCACGTGTCATACACCTCCGCTCATAAGCTATTTGCAGTAGCCGCTACTTCAGCTTAGGCTACATAAGCTCAGCTTAGTAGTAGTAGTGCGCTTAGTAGCTCAGTCACTACCTAAGTATAGATCAAGTCTGAGCATAAACACACGGTAGCTGCGCCAGTGCGCTCTCGTTATGTTTTACGTTGCTGCCTGGATAAAAAGTTAGTAGTATAGTTACGATAGCCTATGTTACTCTCTGCCATGAAAAAACGCGGATATTTGCTAGGGGTTAGCGAGCAAACTGCATCCCGAGTTTGCTAACGTGCACACAGCTGCTCCGTTTTGTAAGCGTCACGCGAGCAGTGAGGGTGCCAATACCGTAGTGAGATGGGCGTGGGAAAATGCGTTACTGCGCGATTCCTGTGCGATCGTCACCCTGGATATAATTTGGGAGTCGCACATTCCGGCGTGTCCACAAAGAATATGTCTCTCTAGTCCGGCGCGAGATTGTCTGGAAGTGGAATTGAAAGCCTAGTACTGCTGACGCACGTACGTTCTGCACCAAGACACGAGCTACACCGGGGGTAAAATCGTATATAGTGCTGTACTATATCATCCTTCTCCTTCTACGCGTTCGCATGTTGCTGCTCATACGGGGGGTCTATATGTTCCCCCAGGGTACTGCGGGAATGTTACCTGGGGTAAGCTATCTGCCATTGAGCTGGGCCCCACTACTTAAGCGACCGCTGTAGCGGTTAGTTAAGCTCTAGTTTTTCGCAATGGTCACGTAGGCAGGATAGACGACATACTCTATCATCCATCGAGCGTTAGTTCGCAGTTAGGCAAAGCCGATATATTTGGTGCGGCTGGCAATTACTTTTGTAGCGTGCCTCAGCAGCCGTGGCATTATGGGGCGCAGAAGGGACTCGCTTAGAAGGGGGTGTACCGAACGTCATCCCGCTACGGCTCTATGACATTCACGCTCCCCAAGGAACTAGGCATATAGAATCACGGTGGACTTAATAATGCGATTATATCCCTTCTTCTAATACAATTCGGAGGTCAGTCGGTAGCCGTTGCGAGTAATCGAGAGCGGACCGTGCTAATCTCAGATAATATAAGGTTGCACAGATGGGTTTCCCTTACATACACGACATAACCAAATCGGTGAATTAGAATGCCGGGCGCCTTTCCAGTCGCATGCCGTACGAAGAGCGTATACTCGACCGTACCATGGGTGTGTCATTTTCGCAAAGACTGCTGGGTACTAGTACCCTGGCGTGGACGTAGACCTATAGACGTAAACTTATATGTTACATATCGGTCTTGTCACCTTCGCGTATAGAAATTCTCGATCTATCTATATATCAAAGAGGCTAATAATTGTCATTATAATATATAGTATATATATATAGTATATATTATATATATCATATATATATATATCATATCTATAATGGCTAATACTTATAATTTGGGGCATTAAATCCATGGCTATCATCAGCGCTAATAGGCATAAGCCCGTTGGCCGTTACGTCCATCAGTATCAAAAAGCAGGTCCGTTGTCAGAAAACATCATAATATTTATGACTATCGCTTATGTTTAAAGTGATCTTTTCGGGCTAACGTGTGCATGGCACGGCACGAAAGTGGCTAGCACGCGATATTCATGAACCTTAGAATAGAGGATCGACTGGCCGATGGCACGTATATACATGTATTTACAATATACAGGCGTTCAGTACTTATACAAAAATAGAATCGCTGCCAACGCGCAAAGATTGACTAGAGCATATAGCGTATGACTGTAAGCATTATTTCCTGATGTCCATTGAGCGCATCGTCGATCACGCTGATGGGCTGAGTAGGCCCTACAGTGATGGCGGCTAAAATAAAACAGGATGCACGCTTGACGGCCGTCGGATTTGGTTGTGTTGTTTAATTCGCGGCGTAATTCCCCCAGTTTCCACAGTTACTGGATTGGATGAACTAATCGTATTTTGGTCTGAGATCTTGCATTTATCCTAAGGTTTCTTTGATTCAGTACGCCTGAGCGGCTCCCATTTCAGGTGTAAACTTTGATAGATTGCGGTCAACGGCTGCATGTCTCCGAGTGTCACAGTAAAAAAAAACACCGCAACCGTACTCGCATCGCTATACCAGGTTTAAAAATAAGCTAGCCTTCGCCACTGGGGGGAAAACTAAACAAAATATCTGTTATTGGAAGATTGCTTGATTTGGGTCTGGATACTGATGCCGACCAGATTCTGACCATAAGAATTGACATTTTGGTGTAAAAATGATTCGTTTAGCCGGAGTAGCATTGGCGCACATCATCATTTTTTTAAATGATCCATTTGGATCGATAGTTCAACAGACCCAGAGCTTCTCTCGCATACCTCGATGCACTTCTAATTTTAACAGTGGTATATATCTAACAAAACGCGATTCTCCTTTGCGTCCAGTCAGGATATTGGATATGCTGCGTGAACACAATCTAGGACTGCCAAAGACAGTACACCCAAAATTGCTGGGAAAGATGGCGCTTTACTAACCCTTTTCTGGTCTTGATCCGTGACCGGTAAATGTGCCTAATAGATTTGTTCGTGTTTCGTCTGCAACTTGCTTTTCCTTCCGGAGTGATCTACCTATTTCGTTCGCCAAAAGAATTTCCGTAAGTGGATCGAATCTCTAATTAGGCGCAATGGCGGAAAACGTGAGTCCGCGTCATACCGGATTTCTTTACAAAACAAATTACGGACTGTTATGTTTTTTTTGCGCTGTCTTGTTAGGAGCACATTACTCTGTAATTACGAGTGTATTATTTTTGCGGCGATATTAATTTTAACATGATCCCCCGATAGGTGAAAGTGCACATAAACACTTTGACCCCGCGCTCCCGTTTAACGGTGTTGCCAGTTGGCTCGTGGTCGTTTATACATACTTATCGAAGTCGAAATCTCCTAGTCTGATCGACATAAGTCTCTCTGATACAACTTAAGCTCTTTCCCAAGTTCCATTCGACAAGCGATCTCTCCATATTTCATAAAAATATATTACTCGGTTACTGGTTATACGCCGGATTTTGTACTCACTAGGTTATTGCCAATCTCACTCTTGATCCAGAACTGACTTCTTTCACAGGATTATTCAATAGATCTAAATCGCTATCGAAGACACATTCGTGTTCAATCAATATCCGTTCTATGGCATATAGCTAAAGTATTCCATGGTCATCATAAGATAATCCGTACGCTTGCTCTCACTTTTTTCGTGTTACGCAGGCTAAACGTACACTGTAGCGCTCTGCCTTACGCAACGCATGACAGGGACTAGATGTTGGACGATGATTACACACATAAGCCATTATCACCATAGAGTGACTATTTGCATTGGCCGGTATATGCAAGGGTCTTGCGATGCTGAGCGTGCTCACACCACAATATTTATTATCCACAGATAAGCTCTCGCGAGGTGGTAGCTTCGAGCCTTAGTGCACACTCTAGAGCTGACTCCTATGTTAAGATTGAATATAGAATGTTCTGCACACAGTTTAGCGGGTTTGCACAAGTCCAGTTCTGCACATAATGTGCGTTTAGCTGTGTGTCCTCTGTGAGTGGTAATGCTATTTAAATAGTAGTAGTCTCCGTTTGTGTAAGAAATTATTTTGAGTGGTAATAGGCATAGCTTTTCGCCATGTTAATTTTCGGTGAGTGACTACGAAGATATTAGTTTAAGATGGCAGGCAACGATGGAATTTTAGTGTCTAGTGATCTATGGGACTGTGCTTAGGGACCCCCGTCTCCGGTCGTTTAGCACATTTGCAATCAAAGCAAGAAAGGCATACTCGCATAAAAGGACGCTCAAATGCTCGAGTTCAGGTGTTTGCTACTTTTATAATTTTTTTTCAAAGATTATCGCTCTGTTTAAAATGACCCCTTGCGTCTTAGAGTATCATGTTCACTCGCTATGCCACCTGTTCTACAATGTGGTATAATCTTATAACATCTGTGAAGGGATGTTGGGGGGTGATAGCGGCCCTGAATAGCCGTACTCCGTTAATGGAGCTTTCTGGTCTATTACATCGGCAGGACGGGTGTCTTGAAAGAAAGGCAGACTGGTGCTCTATCCGTAGACAAATGCTGACATGCTTTTACTTGCCAGAAGGAAACGAAAAATGGATGATCGCCATGTCGCGGTATTTGAGATTTAGCGGAGGAATTTCTATATAGCTGACATGGACTGTCCTCACTGGTGCACGTTGGACCGTCCTCGTAGACTTGCTGGCACTGGTAACTACACAAGGTGCCAGTTACTCTAGCATTCGTTAAAATTGCATAATCAATGGTCATCTTATGCCTTTAACACTACGTTGGCGAGAGGTCCTACGACGTGTAACAGTCGGAGAGCCTGGTCGGTTTAGTAGTAGTAGTACTACTTAGCTACTACTAGTAGTAGTAGTAGTAGTACTACTACTACTAGTAGTACTAGTAGTAGTAGTAGTAGTAGTAGTAGTAGTAGTAGTAGTACGATAGCCTATACTAGCTCCAAGAAACGGTATTTGCTAGGGTTAGGAGCAACCCTGCATCGAGGTTTGCAACGTCTGGTTTTGTGTACGCAGGTGAGTGATCATGGCTGGGAAAATGATTATCGGTCCTGATGCTGATAATTGTGGAGTGCAAAAGAAAGTACTCTATCCAGGCGTTGGTGAATTACCCGACTACTCACCAAACACTAAGGTAAATTCGTATGTTACTTTAATCTTTCCATTTTACCTCGCACTTCTGCTCATAGGGTCTATATGTTCCCCCAGGGTACTGCCGGAATGTACCCTGGTAACTATCTGATGTGCATGGTTAGGGTTAGGGTTAGGGTTAGGGAGTAGGCGTAGACGACTCTCTAGACTCGTTAGTGGAGTAGGCGAGGTACGGTCCGGCATATTAGATAGTACCAGCAGAGCATATAAATCACGTTGATTTATATGCTCTGGTACCAGGGTACGTTCCGGTATACCTGACCGTACCCAGGGTACGTTCCGGCAGTACCCTGGGGGACATAGACCTTCTCAGCCGCACTTCTTGTTGGTTCTTCGTTTGCAGTTGCTCGTTGCATCAGTGCATTCAGTCTGTCTATTGTTTCAATTTTTCATGAATTTATTCAAAAATGTGTATCACTCAATAGTTTCACTCACTAGAATTCTGACTAGAATTGGATAACCGTTAGATTGGAATTACAGATCCACTTCCACTTTCGGACGCTACGCCGCAACGATGACAGGACAGTGTTGGACGATACCAAGAATTCCAAGAAGCCATTTGAGCTGATCGTTGGTAAAAAGTTCAAGTTGGATTGTTGGGAGCTGTGCCTAAAGACGATGAGATTGAATGAAGTTGCACAGTTTAGCGTGCACAAGTCCGTGAGTGAATATTGTGTGAATCAATTGTGGTCGTTGAAGGTGATGCTTTCTTCGCTGTATCCATATGACACAAATATTAAGTTAAGAGGGCAGGAAGATGAATTGATGTCTAGTGAATCTAGGGTGTGTTAGGGACGGTACTACTGTGTGTGTCGACTCACGTGCACGTACGCATGCACATACACAACCATGCATCCTCTCTCTATAACCGTTTCTCTAACCCTCTCTCTAACTCTCTCTCTCTCTCTCTCTCTCTCTCTCTCTCTCTCACTCTCTCTCTCTCTCTCTCTCTCTCTCTCTCTCTCTCTCTCTCTCTCTCTCTCTCTCTCTCTCTCTCTCTCTCTCTCT